CTAAGGCAGCGCCTCATCCTGTAATGGCGGAAAAGTTACAAATATTTCACTTCCTTTTTGTTTTTTTTTGTTGAACATGATAGTTGAGATGTCAAAATGTGTATCACTGTTCAGCATATGTTTTTAATACCATATTAAGGTTCCGAGCTGGAGCTTATATAATACTCCGTCCGTCCCAAAATAAGTGACTCAACTTTGTACTAACTTTCCGAGCTGGAGCTTACTATCGAAAATGTACAATTTTAGCAATTCAGTTGTTGCAATACATGGTCTGGAACATTTTTTGTGTACAAAAAAACATCGGCATAACAAGTTGGCCAAAACTTATTTTCTTTATTAAAAAATAATCCTTTGCAGCCCTTCTGGAAGGTTCTTCAGGAAGGATCGAGCAGAGGGAGGAGTGTTGTAGGTGAGTTTTATATGTTAAATACTTTTTAGAAGTGTTACTTTAATTATTTTTCTCTGGGTTGACACTCATCATGGTTTAGGTGTACTTGAGGCAAATTTTATTGAACCGGCACATGACAAACAGGATTTCGAGAGGACTCCACTATTCATTCGTTTGGAAACAAAACTTAGACAAATTATCATTGAGTACTGGTACGTGTCTTGGGATGCTCAATCTGAAATAAAGATGCCTATATTCTCTCATCCTTATTAAGGAGATTAGAACCACATTTTAAATACTTGAACAAGCTTCATATTAAGGCCTCCTTTTTTTCATAGGATAGGAATGTTATAGGAATAGGAAAATCATAGGAAGTGAGATGACATGCATCTCAATTCCTATAGAGAAAGAGATGTCATTTGATGCATAGGATGAGAATTCTCCATTGAGTCTAAGCTAATGTTTTTTTCCTCCAAAATGTGAAGGATTGATTCATATCCTACATAGGAATAGGAATCCATTCCTACAAACCAAAGGGCTTCAAAGGATTTTTTTTCCTTTGCAAATCCTATCCTATAGCATTCCTATAGAATTCCTACAAACCAAAGGAGGCCTAAAGAAGAAACATGTTGCTGATCTCTCTTTTTTTTAGTGCTTTTTTGTTTTGTTTTATTTAACTGTTTACTGTTGGGTCAATACCTGGGATTGGGAAGTGAACTGTATTTGGTGTTACCACACCACATATACTGTGTCTTGTGTGGTAATACCACATACCATGGGTATTTTGCATGCTGACGTTTGTCCCCATTCTGCTTTGTATAATGTAGTTTCCTGCAATAATGGTGTTTTTGCAGGAAAAACAACTGTCATTTGATAGGTTACCAGCCAATGAATCCACAATTAAAAACACAGTATAAGGCTGCCAAAGGTTCAGGTGGTCCTGGACATGAGTTTCAGCAGAAATCATCGACTGCTCAGAGGATTGGAGTGCATTCATCATCGACTGCTCAGAGGATTGGAGCGCATTCATCAAATTTGCTACCGGAAACATATGATGATGCAGCAGTCTTTGGACTGAGAACTAATGGTGCAGGTATAAGACAAGCTCTATACAATGCTTCCTTTTTTTGCCCTCAATCGTTATACAAAAATGTGAGTCCATGCTGTGTGCTAAGCTGCCAAAAGGTACACTCTCTTCCGGTCCTACTTGGATTCATGCAGTTTCACGAAGTTTGAAGTGAGAAATAATTCTTACTTGAAATGTGATTCTCTGTTTAGCTTTTCTTGAACTCAAAGGTCTTTGTGCAACTAATTAGTGGTGTACAATACTGAATAAAAATCTTGTGATGCCCTGTTACCCTGTCAGGGCAAAAGCTGCCGGGCTGGTTGTCAAAAGGATGGACAAGAGCATGTCACTTATTTTTTCTGACCAAAATAAGCTTGTTCAAATTGTTTTAGAACATTTGTTTAGAATTATTTGTACATGAAGAAGGTAAATCCTGTGGTAGAAATATAGACAAGTTATTTTATTTAGAGCAAGGTTCTGATGATCTTGTGAAGTATTTGGTGGTACGCAGATACTGTTTTCACTTACTTTCTTAACATATGACGACCAGAGCACCCTAACTTTTTTTTGCGTGTTTGAGAATCCACTCACCTTATAAATGTTGTTATTGTATACTTTATTCATGCTTGTTCTATTTTATTTTATCCAGGTTCTGGTTTGCAATTTTCTGGCCAAGCACAAGAAAACGGTACGAATTCAGCAGGCTTGGAAGAGGTTTGCACCTTTTAGTCTTTCAATTCGGTCATGTTCTAGTTTTACTTGTTTCCATTCTTGGACCCCAATGTAGCTCTTGTTGACAATAACATGCCATCTGTGTCCCCACTCTCTTCACAAGTTCCCGAGTCACTGCTCCCTTGATATCATTTTCTGCTGTAATGCAAAAAGGCTTATATAATGTGCACAGCCATTGGCTATGTTTTGGCACTAGATGAGAGTGTTTACTCTTCACGGTTTAGCATGATGGCTAATATAATGTTAAATTCCTATGTTATACTATGCTTGATTACTCTTTTCACATGCACATATCTGATCACTATTCTTTTTATTATCATTTGTGACATTTAGGATCTAGTCAATATTGCCTCTGATGGTGAACTTGATCCTAATTTCCTTGAGAAGCTGAGTGATGAAAACATTTCTCTGTTCACAAGGTAATTTCTTGATGATGGTTGATGAATTTATGTACATGGGAGAATATTTTTGTGTATGTGTGTGTGTATATATATATATTATATAATCTCCTGAATAGATTTTGTAATTAAATGTGTTCAAAATTCCTGTTTTGTTGTCAACATAATGTTGCTGTTTGTTTGTTATGTCTTTTTTCTCTATTTTGCATAAATCTAATTGCACCATCAGTTCTTTAGTTTATACATCATTTTCAGAAGTACTCCCTCCGTCCGGAAATACTTGTCATCAAAATGGATGAAAAGAGATGTATCTAAAACTAAAATACGTCTAGATACATCCCCTTTTATCCATTTTGATGACAAGTATTTCCGGACGGAGGGAGTACCAATATTGATATGCTTGACTATTTTTGAAAATAATAATAAATAATGTTATCAATTAAGTATCAAGCCATTTAGCATGTATTTAGTCGGTGCAGTCCATTCTCTTATAACTTATTCATTGTTCCAACAAAAGCCAAGAACCAACAGCCAAACTGTAGCAGCAAGTTAGCAAGCATAAAAATGTTAATTTAAGAGAAAGGGAAGAGGAAATCAGCAGCCTGTCATTAGATAAAAATCTGTAGGATAGTGGGGGATAGTGGAAATCAGCCGGCACTGCTAGAGCCTGAGAGGTATCAGGGACATATCGGTAATGAATCAGTATCAGATAGAGATACGCTGATTGCTGAGAGTATTCTGTATGTTAGCATACATTACAAAATTAATGTTAACAATATTACATGAATTGCATGTCTAGGGAAATTACGAACTTCAACTGCAGAATATTTTATTTTGAAGCTACTAAATTGGCTGGTTGTTGCTACACTTTAGTTGTTTGCTATGTGTGAGGTAATTAGTGCTACCTTGAAATGTGGTGACATTCTTTTTGAGTGCCACGAGCCAAGCTACTATAGCCCTTAAATGAATAGTTTATGCATGACACCTTGGCATGTAATTGTATCGATAGGACTTGGTGATTGTTTGTGTTGTTTGAGATCACTCTTACCATTGTTGCATACTGAACCTGGAAGTACTCCTTTCAGGCGCGAGGAGCTTAAACAACGAGATACACAATTGAAGCAGACGGTATGTCATACCATTCAAAGTAATCAGCTAATAGCTAGCGTATTATGTTGCTAGATCAAATCAGAATTGTTCTTTTGTAGATTTTGGAGTTGGAGCATGAACTAGAGGAAACAAAAAGGAAATGCTCTCAGCTTTCTACTGAGCTACAGGTGCGGAAGAGCCAGCAGCAGCTCCCGTACATGTGAAGGTTAGTTTGGCTACTTCTGACATATTCTTCTCTGTAAGTTCTTTCCAATTTGTCTATACCTTTGTTAATTTCAGAAATATAAATATAGTAAAACACCATGCAAAAAATTGATCTTTGACTTTGCTCAACCTTCAATTTGCAACTTTGACCATTTTTCAGTTAGTTTTCAATGATAAATATAAGTTTTACTGCAGACTTTCTAAAGCTCGTCTATTTTGGAACAGAGTTAATACTTTAATCACCTGTCGTGATCCGTCTTGGTTGAGCCTTGAGAGTCCAGTTCTGCGTTGTAGTTTCCAACCCGGCGCTACTCCCTACATGTAGGGTTAGAATTGCTTTTATAAGTATCTGATTCTTTCTTTTTCTGCAAAACCTAAACGGACAGGAGTTATGGTAATTCATTGAGCAGAAAATAGTTATCCAGTTTGCTACAGAGTACTCCCTCCGTTCCAAATTACTCGTCGTAGAAATGGATGTATCTAAAACTAAAATACATCTAGATACATCCATACCCGCGACAAGTAATTCGGAACGGAGGGAGTACATTCGAGAACATGAGTTGCATACCCGTTTGGTTTTATTTTATGACCCCAAAACATAGCTCAGATCTGAGTTCCTCTTTCGTTGCATTTTTTTTTTGGAATCATTTCTTTCAGTTCCAATTTGGCAAAGCTTGATCTGGTTTTGGGCCCTCTAGATCATGGTTGATCATGTTCTGAATTGTCATTACTTAACCATCTAGAAAGAGGTGCTTTGGTTTAGCGTCCAAAACGTTGTGGCTAACCATACACCAAACGAAGCATGGTTGGCAACAGATAAGAAAAAACATGGTTGGCAAGGCACCAATGCCAACCATGACTGATGATGAATCCAAGAATATGGTCTCCTCCATCTGCGATACAAGAACATGGACTTAGTAGGCCTGCTACCTTGCTCTGTTCATGTTAATCAGATTAGGAAGAAAGACATGGAATTTAAAGAATGTCGGTAGTGAAAAAAAAAGGTGAGCTAGCTAACATTTTGCTCAAATTGATGACTAAGTGGTACCCCGTCAAATTTTTGAAAAAAGTAAAATCCATATCGTTGATGGAAGGCGCGTCATTTCACCTAAGCGTGACATAGTGATTTATGGGCAAACAACGGGCTCGCCATATGGGGTGCTAGTGTAATCTTGCATGTTGGGAGTTGTTGCTTACGCTGAGTAAATGCATGATCTTTGGAAGTTGTTTGAATTAAAAAGAAGAAAATGAAAGGGTATACAAAGGAAAATGAAAGAATTATAGGCTTACCTTGTTGGGCCTAACCCCAGCTTTACCCAGCCGTGCATAGCCCATCCCCTGAACAGTTGTAACTGCATGGCGTTGTCTCAAGAAGAAACTACTCATGCAGTCCTGTGATCTGTGCGCCATATGCGATGAATTCCTCCTGTGAAGCGCATCGGCACGCCCTTTCGCTCCTCAGAATATGAGCTCGTGTAGCAGCCTTAGTTTCATGGAGAACGCCGACGGCTTTTGGTTCGTGTCGCCGCCACTGTTCCAAGCATCTTCCTGCCTCACTCCCTTGGAAGTCTTCTGATGAACCTCCAACACTCCGTCGATCTCCTCCAAGGCGTCACCCCAGACCGTTCCCGAGGCGATCTCCTCTGCCGTCCGTCGGCATTGTCAACGGCCTCGTACCCGTTCTCCTCCACTGCTTTATTTTCCTTCCTGTTCGCGTGCTCCATCGGAAGGACTGATGACTTGATTCTCCAAGATCTTTCGAGTAAGAGTGCTTCTCATTCTCTTATCATTGATTCCCAAGGTGGCCTCCCGATATTCCATGCAACTTGCAAAACATATTTGAATCGGTGGGATTAGTTTTAGGGATTGAGGTGGTACTTTAATAGATTAACCAATTCACTTATATCAGCGCAAGGCGTGCTAGCTCAGTTGGCTACTGACTTAGGTAGTGAACGGGAGGTTCAACTCCCAACACAAGCATATTCCGAATCTACTTGTGCAAGGCGTGCTAACTCAGTTGGCTACTGGCTTAGGTAGTGAACGGGAGGTCACGAGTTCAACTCCTGACACGAGCATATATTTTTGCCTCCTCTCCCAAACTGTAGCCAGACTGGCCACTATAGGTGGGCCGGATTCGTCTCGAATTGAGGCAGGCCAGCGACGGGACTGCGGATTGGGCGACAAAGCCAGGCTGCGGGTGACTGACTGATGGGCCACTATAGGTGGGCCGGCTTCGTCCCGAATTGAGGCAGGCCAGCGATGGGACTGCGGATTGGGCCACAAAGCCAGGCTGCGGGTGACCGACTGAGGCCAGGCCGGTGACGGGAGTGCGGGTTGATTTCTACAAAGGTTAGGGACTTTTTTTTGCAAAATGTCGCTACGGACCAAGAATTAGCAGGTATAGATTGGCTACCTGATCTGTAGAAATTTGAAACACAAATCGCTAACCAAACAACCTAACCGTACTGAAGGAACCTAGTCATGCTTACTATTAAACATTGATCTATGCTCTTTGTAGTTTCTCTGAACACTGAATATGTTTGAACCTGAAATTTACAGGATGACATGTAGTTGTAGTGCTTTTGGAAAAAAAAAAAGATTGTCTTGGTGTTGACTTGGATGTGGTGTCCACTAGTGTTGTTTGCACCCTTGCACTAACAAATATGGAAGTTCCATACTTGCCAAAAAATTTCTGCTTAGCTTGGATCCTTTCATTTAGATTTCGGGTTGCAAATTGCTAGGTTCACTGTATTTATATTAAAAAGGTTAGTACCTTGACTTGCAATGATTTTTAGAGATGTAAGTGGACGCATCCGTGACATCCGTGAATGCCTGCTTTCCTTTTTTTTTTTGTATTAGCTTGATTTTTAAAGCAACATTGATTAGCTTATTTTTCCCAGACGGCCGCGGGTGCCGCGGATGCGTCCACTTACATCCCTATTAATCTTTAACTCCGACAACTTAAGAATGTGAAGGGAATTCTAGGTCTAAGTGAATACTAACGATTATTTAGGGTACCGAATGATGAAGATTTTTGTGCTGTCAGCAGCTTAACCGAATCTCCATCATTGCTGATCACTCTTATGGGTCTTTGAAATGAAATCACCATCTTCTTTGGTTTGAGGGACGAAATGAGCTGGTGCAGCACTAATTGTAATACTCCCTCCGTCCCAAAATAAGTGACTTAACTTTATACTAACTTTAGTATAAAATTAGTACAAAGTTGAGTCACTTATTTTGGGGCGGAGTATAATGTTAAATGATGGTGGGGAGTAACTTACCAACTTATCTAGGACCAGTGCATTCCTTGAATCGAACATGCCCATGTATTTAGATGACCAAGGGTGCGTTTGATTCATGCCCAAGCCAACCCTACCAAAATTTTGGTGAAGTTGCATTTGAAGTAGGCAAACGGCATGTGCACATTTTTTGTGGGGCTATTATCAAAAAAATTGTACATGACCTAAAAAATGGGCACAAATCCACAAACGGAACATACCCCAAATAGTAACCCATCTTGCCTCTCTTAATTTCCCTTGATTCAAATTCTAGTGCGAATGAACCCAGTGATTTCTTGAGGTTCTGTAAATGCAATTACTTGTCCATTGTCTTCGACAATGACACAATAAGCATATTAAAATGCTTATCGATAATATTGAGGAGCCAGAATTTCTGTGTCTAATACCTTAGGCATATATTTGCCGGTAGTGCCAGACGTTGTGACCATTTTAATTGTTTCAAATGATCACATATGCTTTAGGTCTGTGACTCAAATAGTTGATTGAATTTTGTGCAAGTTCAAAGCATCCTTGATTTATCCTTGGAATCCATAGCAGAAGTAGAATGTTTGGTCAGAGAGGCATTGGTTAAGACAAAATTGTTTTTTTTTTCAGGTTATTTCATTAAGGATGCAGTGCAGCGACCAAGGCTAATGAAGAAACCACGGTGTCAAGTGCTGACGTTGTTCATATTCTTGCTAGTACCAAACTGGGTCCACGCTTAGGAACATTAGGAAGGAAACTAACTGCGCGTACCAACAGCATATGGTTATCAGATGTGTATATGTCGCGATGTCTGGTTGCAACTGCTGTTTCGTGCTCGGGATCAAAGACAATTGAATAATCGAATACTACTTGGTAGTCATATTATCAGTAATTTCCTTTGGCTATATTTGATGTTTACATGTGGCTTGTTTATACCTGAAAAAATCACCATGTCAGCACTCAACATGGAACACTCGGCGCTCGAGTGTTCCATAACTGCAACAAGCAGCAGGTTAATGAAATATCCTTGATACTGGATGAATTCCAGCAATGGTTGCTAGCAAGGAGGTCAACATACATCGCAATACACCCAACACGTGCTGTAACACGTCTCCACTGCACAGCACGACGGCCTGGAACGGGAAGTCCAAATCGAATCTTAGGCCAGAAAGCGATGTATGTTATCCCAAAGGCCATCCCAAACCTGACGGGCAGCGGCGAAATGTAGCTACTACAAAGATTCCAGCAATGACGCGGCACGCACTCCCCCACCCGCATCACGCGGCCCTCGTCACGCACTGACGACATGCAATTAGTCACGCGTCGCTCCTTCCGGGATACTTCCCCCTTGACAACCCCTCCACACCAAGGAACCGATTGTCCAATTTTGCCAGTCACGCACGCTTCGGACGGCTGAACCCGGCGCACGATGCTCAAGTGCTCCCGTCTCTGCGGTACCCACCGATCAGTGTAACGGCCCGCACGAGCACCCCTACACCTCACCTACCTGCGCAGAGCGGCATCACACGATACCGGCGCGCACAAGTAGTCGCCAACCAGCCATGATAGTATATAGCACGAACCTTCCTTCCTCGAGCTCCCCCCTGCCCTCGCCTCGCTGCCCCATATCACTGGCTGGCTACTCTGGCGGCGTCGTGCTAGAGCGGGAGAGTGTTCCGGTGTACCACGTGCTCGTGCTTGGAACGCCGTACGTGTCCATGGAGATGGAGACCCCG